GTCGGAACAAAATTTAAATCACTCAACCTTAAATATAAACGAAGAAAGCTTCATGGTTGTTAATATTAAATATTTATTATACTCCAAATTTGTTATAGTTTGATATAATTCCATATAGTTATTTCTGTAAACGTAGACGTAAAATACCAATGCCACACATATGTACATACATAGGTACACATGTATTTATTAGGGGAAAACTTAATTACTTTATCATAAAAATTAATTTAATCATGAAAATTTATTTAAAATAAAACTTCTTAAAATAACAAAAAATTTTGTAAAAAAAAAATATTAAAAAGAGGAAAAAAAAGAAAAAAATAAAAAAAGCTCGGGCAGAGTCGAACATTAAATACCCGGCGCAAGTATTAAATATATGTTTTTCACCTTTCCGAAAGCTACCGCTACATGGTAAGCCGGGGTGTATCAATTTTGAGTAAATGCGTCGCTAAATTTCGAAACGTTGAAGTTTCAAGCATTTCTGAAATTTACCGTTGTATGAAAAGCGGCCGTAATTTTAGTCCGATTTTAATAATTTTCAACCTCTTGCTTTTATGTGGCAAGCACAATAACCACACCGAGTTTGGTACAAATTGGGGGAACGGTTACCAAGATACATATATGTGATCATAAGTGGGCGGTGGCCCGCCCATTTTCCAAAATCTTATCATAAACGTATTTCTTGGTAAAGAATTGTTGCAAGCATCAATTTTGAATAAATTAGGTGAAATATTTACTGATTTATCGAAGAGTTTGTATTTCTCTAAATTACCATTATATGGGATGTGGGCGTGGTTATTGTCCGATTTTAAAAAGTTTCGGCNTCGAAGAGTTTGTATTTCTCTAAATTACCATTATATGGGATGTGGGCGTGGTTATTGTCCGATTTTAAAAATTTACGGCCATTTGGTATGATGTACCACGGCCAACAACTGTGCCAAGTTTGGAAGAAGTTGGTGTAGCGAAATGTAACTATAAGTGGGCGTGGCCACTCCCATTTTCCAAAAATTTATAATATTCTTATGTATCGTCTAAAATTATTGTAAATATCAATTTTGATTGAATAATCTTCAGTAGTTACTAAAATATCGTAGTTTTCGTATTTCTGAAAATAACCGTTATATGGAAAGTGGGCGTGTTTACAGTCCGATCTCGCCCATTTTCAATACCAATCTACCTTGGATTAATGGAAACCCACTTACAAAATTTCGTTGAGATATCGCAATTTTTTCTCGAGTTATCGTACGGACGGACAGACAGACATGGCTTAATCGACTTTTCTATTCATTCTGAGAATTTACTTATGCATTTGGCTATATTTATCTATCTCGATTCGTTTTGTCTGTTACAAACAACCGTTATGTGAACAAAGTTAATATACCCTTGTGCACAACTGCGCTCGGGTATAAAAAAGTTACGCTGCCCGAGTACTCGGACCCGAACTTGGATTTCTCAATTGGCAGTCTATTGCTTTGCTCACTCGACCATTGCAACTGATGGGGCAGCGTGAGCAAAATGGAATACATAAGTATCTTTTGTTTCCTTTGCACTAACTGATTTCGAATCAGCATTCGAAGATGGCAATGATATTTTTGAGTTCAACTGGATTTAGTGATAGCAATTTTTTCGTATTCGTAGTGGGCATTCGAATTCGTAGATTCTGCGATGGATACCGTTATAGCCCTGAATATTATTGTTGTAACCGTATCACGCGTTTATTTATTTAGTTCAGATAATACAAATTTGGTACAATGAAATAGCAACTTAAACTACGTTAAACAATTATTAGTAAAAAGGTTTGCAAATTCACGAGCGTGTGCTGCGGCTGCTGTTCAACTTTCTACTCGACGTTACTTCGAACAGCTGTCAAAATAATGAGAGTGTTGCCACTAGATTTGTTTTAGATATTATCCATTAAGTTGGTTGGATGCCTGGAACTGTGTGAGCGTCGAACGATTGTGGAGTCTGAATCATCTGTTGGCTGTAATTAATTCTCCTGTTGCTGTTGGGATGGATGCTGAAATCGTGGTTCAGTTGTCATATCTGGTTCCAAATAAAGTTGTTCAGTGTCAATTTTGCGCTTACGAATTTGATTCGCGTGTGAAGTTACATGACGATTTCTATCATGCTGTTCAAGCATTACTTTGTAGTTAACGTTGCCAATATTTTCCAATACGATGCCTGGTTGCCACGTCATCTTATTGTCTTTAAATACTTTAACAAAAACTTTCTGATTTACATCAAACTATCGAAGTTTAGTACCATGTTTACTGTCAAATTGTTTTTAAATTTTTGTGTTCTTTCGTGAACTGTCAAATGTTGGTTTCTTTAAAAAGTCAATTTCTATACGAGGAATAATTCTCCTGGTGTCTTTCCCTCCACGTAATTCGGATTAGGTGTTGAACGATATTTTAGTAGAAATTCTTGAAGATTTGAGTTGTCTTTCGTCTCTTCTGTGAAAGATTCTTTTAAAGCTCGTTTTACTGTGACAACGTACCTCTCTGCTTGTCCATTGCTTTGTGGATGGTACGGAGCTGTTTTAAAATGTCGAATTTTTCGTGCCTTGCAAAATTGCTGAAACTCTGCACTGACAAACTGTGTTCCATTATCCGATAGGATGGATTCAGATCCGCCGCTGGTCGGCCGCTGTGATGTAGTGGTAAGCAGTGCGGGCTTCCACTCCGCAGCACCTGGGTTCAAACCCTGGTCAAATCAGCATCGCGAAAATATAGAAAAAAGGTTTTTTCTTAACAGCGGTCGTCCCTTGGCAGGCAATGGCAAACCTCCGAGTGCATTTCTGGCATGAAAAACAACTTCTTATAAAAATACAATCACTGTTCGGAGTCGGCGTAAAACTGTAGGTCCCCCCGCTTTGTGTAACAACTTCAAGGCGCACGCCACAAATCGAAGGAGAAGCTCGGCCAAACACTATATGGGCCAAACGATATGTGTAAGCGCCAATCTATTATTATTATTATAATGAGATAGTATTTTGAACGAACAGGACATGCGAAGTCTAGTGAATGCGTTGCATTGCTCTTTCTGCAATAGGCCATGTTTCGAAGACATTAATAGTAATACGAACCTTGCTATAAAATTAAGGTTAAGTGAAAAAACGCGTGTGTTATCTTTAAAATTCAGAATCCAAGAGAGTTTATTGCAAAAAATACAATTCTTAATTGTCATTACAGGGTTGCAAAAAGTAAAACAATTCAATGTCCAGTACAACATTACAGAGCTGTAAAAGTTAGTAGGAAAGTAAAAGACTATGCAGTAATATTGAACATTCTCCGGCAGCAAAAACGAAGTTTTTAAGGTTCATCATGTCAGCGAGAAACAAGCTGGCTAAGTTGCAAAACATCGGCAGTAGCTTCAGTGTTTCCATTGATGGGCAGCAAACCACTTTTAGAAATCGGCCGTTTCACAAGTTTGCCATTACAGAAAAGCGTAAAGACCCTTACTAGGCCATCTGCACCGGGATGTATCTCATGCACTCTCGCCAACGGCCAATAGCCAGGAGCGCTACGCTCATGTTGCAGCAAAACGATGTCGTTGACCCGAATATTTGTTTGAACTTGTGTCCACTTGGTGCGAGTTTGTAGAGTGTGCAAGTATTCGTTAGCCCATCGATGCCAGAAATGTTGCTTTAGGCGTTCAACTAGTTTCGAGCGGGTCAGGTGGTCGATATTAGAGTCAAGCAGCCTCTCCTCTGAGACGCAAGTTGTGGGTTCACCTACAAGAAAGTGTGCAGGTGTCAACGCTTGATGATCAGTGGGATGTGCTGGCAATGGGCAGAGTGGCCGAGAATTCAAGTAGCTTTCAATTTGTGCAAGAAGCGTGCTGAGTTCTTCAAAAATAAGCATCCGATCTCGCATTATTTGTCTTAGATGATGTTTAGTCGACTTAACCGCCGCTTCCCATAAGCCTCCGAAATTTAGTGAAGCGGGCGGAATGAAGTGCCATGTCGTACCTTCATTTGCAAGAGCAGCAGCAAGGTGTTCGGGGAGCGAAGCCTTTTTCTGCTGAAAGGAAACCTTTAGCTCTTTGTTAGCCCCTACAAACGTAGTACCGCAATCAGAGTATAAATCGCTGCATCGACCCCTTCTTGATATAAAGCGACGAAATGCGGCGATAAAGGCGTCTGTATTTAAGCTTGAAACTACTTCAAGGTGTATGGCCTTCGTGCACATGCAAATGAACAGGCAGATATAGCCTTTTGTGGTTGCCGCTTTGCGAAGTAGTGAAAGCTTTAGTGTTATGGGACCAGCGTAGTCGAGTCCACTGTGCTGAAACGGTTTAGTTGGTTGAAGACGAACTGCGGGTAATTTTTTCATTTGCTGCTGATGCACCTTCGCTGTTACGGAGCACGGATTTTGCTAAGCTGCGCGCTGATAGAATCCAGTAACGTTGAGAGACAAATGATAGCATCTGCTGAACGCCGCCATGTAGAGTTTGGTAATGGGCGTCTGTGAATATTAGAAACGATAAAAACGATTGTTTTGATAATAACAGTGGATGTTTGACGTCAAATGTAATTTTCGCCTTCGAAATTCTACCTCCGACCCTTAGCAAGTTATCACCATCTAGAAACGGAGCTAATTGAAGAATTTTACTCTTTATGTTAAGAGTTTGTTTATTTTCCAAACAGTTTATTTCTTGGGTAAAATCAATGCGCTGTACCTGCTTCATTATTACAGCGAGTGCCTTTTTAATCTCGCGGGATTTTAGAAAGCCCGTCTCACATAAATTTTTCTCTATGCTTTGTTGCTGCACCGCTGCTCGTTTTTATAAAAAAAAATTTTCTTTTTAACAAATGTATTTTTCGGTAGAATTCCTTTCTACGTAAGCGGCCTTCGGCCGCACTTAGGGATTATAACCCTCAGGCAGTAGAATTCTCCTTTCTGTGTTGCCAAAGAAGGGGGGCTGAACCCCTTTTGCAGAGAACACCTTTTAGAATTCCCTTTCTGTATGGTTAATAAAATAATAAATAGAGCGCGGAATATATTTATTTTTCTATTTCTAATTTGTACACATAATTAATCGCCTGGATTAATTTCAAAAACATGTCCTTTTTGGCCTTTTTGACATTACGCCTCCACAGATACTCTACCACCACATCTGCGAAATTCCCAGTGTGGTTATAATTTCTTGTTGAAAAAAACCGCTTCACCACCCTCCATTGCGATTCAATTCGCTGGGTGTGGGTCCCGTCTTCTGCTACGAACGGATTAATGGCGTCGCTATGATTGACTTTCTGATGGGTGAACCCATTATCAGAAAGACAATCATATGCGCGCCAGAAATCCGTCCTTATTATCGACCCCTCAGCCACATGCTTCTTGATCAGCGGAATAAGAACATCCGCTGATCTGCAGTTATCTGGGCATACTTCAAGGCGTAGATCCTCACTGCCATCTTCGATCATACCCAGGACCCAGTGACCCTCCACTCGTCTGCCTAAAAATAAGAAAGAGAAAATTAAAATCATAACACAAAATTCGAATAAAAATTACCTTTGTTGAATTTCCTCTTTCCGAATTTACTCTCATCAATCTGGACTATCTTCCCGGGACCTCCAATTTTTCCGCTGGCTTCTTGGTGGTCCAACTGGTATATTACCACGGCTTCTCTACAATAACTATACCAGTCGGTGATAGTCGCAGATGATAGAGTTTTTGGTTCCTTTAAATAGTCTTGCCGTAGAACCATTTCGCGGTTAAAATTTTCAACAAAGCAGTACATTAAGTAATATACGTGGGGGACGCTTATGCGGACGTCCTCAAACCACGTCCCTTTCGCTACCGAAACGCTAGCCCTTTTGGCGCAGTTTCCACGCCGGCACATAAACAACCCAAATTTTCCTGAATTTCGCCTGTTCATAATAACCTTATGAATGGGGCACAGCATAGTACGTGGGATCAACCCATGCTCCTCTGCAAATTGCCTCCCCTGGTCATGGGTGCTTAATTCGCGTACCAAACGCGCAAAATTCCACTCGCCTTGTTGCGAATTCCTTGCGCCTGCGCTTGTGGAAGGACGTTCATCTAGAAATATAAGAGTTACAGTTGTGGGCAGATAATTACACCAGCCATTTTAATTAAAAAAAACCAAGAAAATATGCGTATAAAGAATTTCGTATCAATTTCGCGTAGAAAATGAAATTCACCGTTATACTTAGAAATATAACAATACCCAACACCCCAATTAAGCCACGGGGCCAGTAAAAAAATATTTTCCATGAAAAGGTTTATATTTTTAATGCTTGCTGGGTTATATTCTATCTTCTTTTGTCTCTCATTCTTTTGCATATTTTGGAGTTTGACAGCTGAACTCCGCCATTTAATTTGCATATGCAACCAAAGTCAGACGCGTGATTTTGAAGGTGTTTTTATTTAATGAATTGTGATGAATTGGTTAATATAAAAGTCGTAAAGCAAGTTATAACAAATCAAGTAAAGTGTAAAGTGAAGGGGAATACAAAAATATATTGGTGAAGTGGCTAATTTAAGCAGAATAGGAGTGATAAATGTACGCTAATTTGCGAATTTTACAAAAAAGGGCATATTTCAAACCCAATTTGTAAATAAATTAGTAACCAAAATTTACAAAAGTGAGTGTTAAAAGATTGCGTGGACCCTTGACTACAAGTGTGTGAAATTTTTTTTTGGATCGGGCCACCCATTTGGACGGAATAGCCCGAAATAGTTGTGAGCGGTACTAAACCCCACCCAATCTCGATACTGCAACTATTCAGGATTTAATTTAATTGGAAGATGGTCATTCCAATCTAATCCCTCAATCCATAACTTTTGGAACATAATTTTAGCGCAATTGTGGTAGGCGCCAGCCAACCAAGTGGGTCGAATAATTTGGCCGCATCAGAGAGCATACTCCTCTTAGTTATTGAGGAAGCAAATCTAAAGTTGATTTGGAAAGAGAATTAATCTTCGTTCGTGTCCCAAAAAAGACCAAGGGCTTTTACGAGGTTCTCTGCCTTAAGTTCAATCCGATTGGCGTTCTCTTTATTCTCAGGTGGAATTGTTTGTAGCAGGACGGCAGAATTTGAGTTCCACTTTCTAAGATTAAATCCGCCACTATATGAAAGCCTGCTGAGTTGTTGTTGTAGCTCGTTTGCTTCCGCGTTGGTGTCTGCACCTGATATGATATCGTCAACGTAGGTATCATTTAAGTACACTTGGCTTGCGAGAGGATAATTTGTTTGCTCATCAGTGGCTTGTTGGCGTAGAACACGAATCACTAAATACGGAGCAGAAGTTGTCCCATAAGTGACAGTGCAAAGTTTGTATATTTTATTTCGCTTTGTAGAATCCTCTCTCCAGAGAATGCACTGATAGTTTTGATATTCTTTACAAACGTTGATTTGCCTAAACATTTTTTTCTAAATCGGCTGTAAAAGCTATTTTGTGACATCTCCAACGAGAAATAATACTTGACAAATCACTTTGCAATGCCGGCCCTGCAGCAAGTTCATCATTGAGAGAAGGTTGAGGGGGGCAACGATTCCCACCATCGAATACAACGCGTAATTTGGTTGTGCTGCTGCTTTGCCGTAAGACACGATCATGGCAAAAGAAATATGAATTTTCTTGCAGATCTTCTGGGTAAAAGCCGACATCTTGCATGTGGCCTAAGCTTAGATATTCTGCCATAAAATCTTTGTAAAACTTTGAAAAGTTAGGTTGATTTTTGAATCGCATTTCTAGCTGCTTAAGTCTTTTAACAGCGTTAAAGTCGGTGCCACTAAATGCTGGGAGTTTACCATGTGCGAATAGGGTTTTAAAAGGTAAGTGGACCGTATATCGGCCGCTGTTATCCCGCTTGTGGGTGTGCAGAAAGTGGTTTTCGCAGTATGCGTCTTCGGAAGAAAGTTGGCGCTCTTCGTGCAATTCCTCCTCTTCCCAAAATAAACGTAGCTGATCATTTAGAGTACATAAATTTGCTTGCAAAATGTGTTGTGAAGGAGTTGTAGAATATTTACCAGAAATCATCCATCCAAAATGAGTTTCTTGTAGGAAAATGCCATTTTCGTACTTTTTCATGCCAGAGATATAGAGAGATATCACCATATACATCTCCGCCTAAAACTAGGTCGATATTGACGGGCAAAGCAAAAGTTGGATCAGCAAGAAAAATGCCGAATAAATTTGGCATACCGTGCAAGTGATAAGGCGATGGTTTGTATGAAGTCAATTTCGGTAAAATAAACGTGGTGCATTCCATTTAAAAATCTTTTTCATAATGTGAGCGCAAGCATAGAGTTAAAGACCTTTTAGCAATTAAAGCATTTGCTTCACCAATGCCAGCTACAATAACATCGGTCTTTTGTTTTGGCAAGTGTAGCAATTGAGCGGCGTCCTCTGTTATGAATGAGGCTTGAGCGCCTTGATCAACGAAGGCTTTCAAGTGAAATTGTCGCCCAGGTGTTTTAATAATCACCCGCACAGTAGCTAGTAAAACCTGAGAGTTAGTATTATTATCATTATTATTTATTAGAGAAATATAAAATATTGCACTAACATTAATTGCACACTAGCTGCTGAGGCCTACGGTGCTATTGTGGTTAATTAATATGAACATCGTGTTAAGGATTTTAGGTAGTAAAGCTAGTTTTACAAAGATTTGTGTAAATCTATTTCTTTTAAAAAGTTAAAGAGCGTAGTTATATTACTTACATTTATATCTTATAATAGTGAGGATGGTAAGGTGGTACCAAAATTGGAGGTGTGTTTGGAGGATAATGGGGAACATGAGTCTAGGATGTGTGTTACATTGAGATGGTCCCCGCAAAGCGGACATACAGAAGAAGGGTCGCCAAGGAGGAGATGTTGATGGGTTAGTTTGGTATGGCCTATCCTGAGACGCGTGAAAACACTTGTTAGTAATCTGGAAACTGAGGAAGGGAAAAGAGATTTCTTGCACTGTGGATTATATTGCATGTATGGATGATTGAATTGGGACCAGGAATTAAGTTTTAGAGTGTATATATGGCTTTGAATGTATTTAACGAGGTCCTTTCTGGAAGGAGAGTCAAATGATATGGTGGGGTAAGATACATATTTTTGGCTGCTAAATCTGCGTGTTCATTGCCTTTGATACCTACGTGACTGGGAATCCAGACGATTTTTATTTTATCAGCGTGTTTAATTAGCTGGTCTCGGATTTGACTAGCTATTTGGTTGTCGTTGTATATATTTTTTATACTTTCGATAACGGAAAAGCTGTCCGAAAAAATTGCAAACTTCCCTTTTTTGATTACTGCGTAATCGATTGCCTTCAGTATTGCGACGGCTTCCGCAGTATAGATGGAGGCATATAGAGGCAGAGATCCGCCATATATAAGGTCTCCGTTTTCTTTCACAACGGCGAAAGCGGTATTGTGTTCGGATTTGGATCCGTCAGTAAAAATCGGGCACCAGTCAAATAGGTCTTCACTGTTTATTATCTGGTTGAAAAGTTGAGTGAATGTGGTTTAGCATGTGGTGCTTTTAGGAAAATTATGCAATTGTATATTTAAGAATGAGGGTGATAATATCCAAGGTGCGTGTCGACTCACTTTTTTGCAACTAGATGGTATTTTTATCCCCAAGTCTTTACAGTAGGCGATGCAATGGCGTAAGGTGGATACGATTGAGTGTCTGCGTTTATTTCGGGAAGCGCTACGAAAAGTGTCAAACAGGAGTTTGTTGGTCGTATTCATTAATTTGGGGATAAGTTTGTATGTGGTTTCTTGGNAAGGATGAGGGTGATAATATCCAAGGTGCGTGTCGACTCACTTTTTTGCAACTAGATGGTATTTTTATCCCCAAGTCTTTACAGTAGGCGATGCAATGGCGTAAGGTGGATACGATTGAGTGTCTACGTTTATTTCGGGAAGTGCTACGAAAAGTATCACCCAGGAGTTTGTTGGTCGTATTCATTAATTTGGGGATAAGTTTGTATATGGTTTCTTGGCATCTATCAATAATTGATGGAAGACCGGCCTCGGCTAGCACACATTTTGTGGGGGAAGTAGGAAAGCCTTTAATGCTGCACCGCACTGATGTATGGTATGGTTTGTTGAGGAGAGCTAGATGGGACTTGGCGCACCAACCGTATATTTGGAGTCCGTAGTCAATTTTGGATAGAACTAGAGATTGTGTCAGGTTGACAAGCGTGTTAGTGTGGATGCGGAGACGATTTGATGACAAGTACTTTATTATGTTCAAACGTGGGATAAGTTTTTTTCTGAGTTCAGTGCATTGGTATTTGAATGTGTATTTGTTGTCAAAGATTATACCTAACAGCTTTAATGTACTTACATTTTCTATATTGTTATTGGCTGTGTTTACTTGTATCGGAGAACAGTGATGTTTACGGCATATATGGAGTATTTTGCATTTGTTGACGGATAGGATAGCTCCAGAAGAAATACCCCAAGAACGTATGTATTCAAGTAAGTTGGAAAATACGTCTTGTACTTTCTTTGTGTCTTTCTCTTTAGTATAAAATACTGCATCGTCAGCGTAGACATTAAGATGTAGGCCGCGGTATTTGGAGATCATTACGTTGAGTTTTTGAAAGGCTGTTATGAATAGGACGACCGAGAGGGGGGAGCCTTGGGGGATACCATTGGCAAGTGGAAAAGTTTCCGAGTAGGTGCAATTGACTTTGGCTTGGAAGCTATGTATGGAGAGAAATGACTTAATTAAGTTGTACATTCTGCTGCCTATTTCCCATGAAGCGAGTTGTTCTAGAACTACGTGGGCCCCTACGCGCTCAAAAGCTTTTTCGAAGTCCGTAGATAGCACGGATACATGGTTTTCTGTTGATATAGCATCACATATAAAATGCTGGAGAAGAAGTAGAGCATCAAGGGTGCTGTGATTCTTTTTGAATGCAACTTGGTTGTGGCTTATCAAGTGGTTTTTGGTTAAGAACCACATTAAGCGTTTTGTGAGCATTTTCTCGAGGATTTTACTTAAACAGGACAACAGGGAGATCGGCCGGTAACTGTTAATATTATCTATAGCTTGGTTAGGTTTTGGGATCGGAAGGAGGGTGGCGGAAAGCCAGGTGTGGGGATATGTGCCGCTTTCAAGGATTTTGTTGTATAAGACTAATAAAATATTTTTGCACCGGTTTGGGAGATGTCGCAGCATGGGATAGGATATACGATCTTTGCCGGGGGTTTTCCCTTTAGAATGTTGGAGGGCATGTTCCAGCTCTATATAGCTGAATTCCTTTTCTAAGTATGGTGCATCAGTTGCCACTCTGGATGTG